CCCCAAAACCCCAAAACCCCAAAACCCCAAAACCCCAAAACCCCTCGTAATTTGTATGAGCTGATTAGAATAATTCATAAAAATGGAAGAGAAAAAATCTGAAAGTAAGATCACCAAGACGAAGATCAATGACGAGTATAATAAATTCGATGTCTTTGGGAGCATTTTTACCCTCCCGAACAAGTACGAGGTGCTTAAACCTCTTGGCTCAGGCGCATATGGCTGAGTCGTGCAAGCAGAGTACAAGAAGAAAATAGTTGCTATTAAATAAAATGGAGAGAACCTTTGAGCATGCGCTTTTTGCTAAAAGAACGCTTAGAGAACTCAAAATTCTCAGACTTTTAAACCACGAGAACATTATTGAACTGAAGACAATAGTTAAGCCTCAAAAAAAGGAAGCTTTTGATGATATTTACGCAGTTTTTGAGCTGATGGAAACAGACCTCGGGACTATCATAAAATCTAAACAAGAATTATCTCTTGATCATATCCAGTTTTTTTTGTATCAAATTCTGAGAGGTATGAAATACTGCCATAGCGCTGGGATTTTACACCGAGATTTGAAACCTAAAAATTTACTTGTGAACAGTAACTGAGATCTTAAAATATGAGACTTCGGCCTCTCAAGAGCGGATATTCCCTCACTTTACGAGACAGGTGCAATGACGGATTACATATCGACGAGGTGGTATAGAGCTCCAGAACTACTATTCGGCTCTGAATACTATACTGCAGCTGTAGATATGTGGTCAATCGGATGAATATTTGCAGAATTATTAACAAGAACATCATTTTTGCCAGGAACCGACACTGAGAACCAACTTGAGCTTATTATTGAGATGATTGGAATCCCAGAGAAAAAGACGATTGAGAAGTTCTGTGGAGGGGAAGTTCCAGAATTTTTCTCAAATACAACATCCAGTAAAGATTACCAAACTAAAGAATTTTTAAAGAGATTCAAAGATGTGGATGAGACTGCTATGGATTTGCTGAAAAAGATGCTTACATTTGACCCAGGAGAGAGGATCTCAGTTGAAAATGCCATAAAGCATGACTTCTTCCATGACTTACATTGCGAGGAAGATGAACCGACCACTACGCCGGTGGATACGTTTGAATTTGATTTTGAAAAATATGATCTTACAATCGATGAGATACGAAAAGAAATTTATGAGGAAATTGCATTATATCACTCCACAAAAGCTCAAAAGACATATCTAAAATAACAGAAAAGAATATCCAGAAGGTATGCTTCATATTAAATATGAAAGACTAAACTCTCGTATTGAAGTTGCTAAGGAGAGGAAAAGACCTACTAAGAAGAAATCGAGGAAAAAGGTGTCTAGCACCAAGCTAAAGGTATAAAATTTCATTCAATAATTTGCTCCAGTTACGGGGTTTTGGGGTTTTGGGGTTTTGGGGTTTTGGGG